CCGCGGGGAAGCGCAGGCCCGCAGCTGCCGCGGGGAGCCGGCGCGGGGCGAGGCCCGGCCCGGGGAGACTCCGCGCCCTGCCCCGACCGACGCTCCCGGGGGCTCGCTCTGCCGCCGAAGGGGACACTGGCCAGGGCAGCGAGGCGTGTCCGCGGTTCGGGAGCGAGCCGTGGCTCCGGCACGGGCTGCCGTGTTTTCCCCAAGTGCGGCTGGATCCCTGCCCCGCAAAACAATTGTGCTACGGAGAGATCTCTTTAACGCCCTAATAGTACATCTCGGTGTCAATTATCTTATGAATTAAAAAGAACATCCAAAGCCAGAAAAAAAAAAAAAAAATACATGAATAACCTAATAATTGCGTAACAACCTGAGAATTATTCCTTTTTTTTGAACAAAAAAATGTTCCTTCGTCCTTGTTCCGGAAGAAATCCTCCCAGGTGAGTCTTCTCAGAGGTGGAGTGTTTGGCTTTCTGTGAGCCCCACTTCATTTATCCTCTCGGACTATAAACAGAACATTAAAAAAATATTCATCAAGCATTTTCAAGCACCTACAGTATGACACCTACTAGATACAGGGGATCTAAAGATCTTTATGAATGTAAAACTCAAAGTTCAGGTAAAATTTTACTTAAAACAAACCAAACTGATAAATGGTCAAGAAAAAGGTTTTTAAAATGTTTTTTGGTTGTTTGTTTTTTGGGGTTTCTTTTGGCGGCTGGTGGGCATGGGTCTCCTAACTCCTGACCTTGGTGTAACACCACCATTCTCTAAACAGCCTAGATAACTGGCCAGCCCACATCTTAAATGTTGACATAAAAAGATCAGATGTTTTTCACCCGTCAGATTGGCCTGAGTATGTACTTAACGTTTATTTAAAAAAAAAAAAAATCCACCAAGTTAATTTATATGGAAGAAGCATGTATAACACTGCCCCGTTTTTGTTAAAATATTACATAGAAAAAAGATTGGAGAAATAGTGGATCCTTCTGAGTGTAAAGATCACATGAGGCTTTCACTTTGAACACTTACCAAAAATGGTGATGTTTGGATTTTTTACAATAAGCATTATTTATGTATGCAGAAAAAAATTAAAATACACCAACTTGTAAAGAAACACGAAAAAGCATTCAGTCTTAATAGTCAAACACATGCAAATTAAAGCTACAGTGAGCTATTTTTCTCGTAATTATTGCTCGGAAGGAGTAGCGACATGTTTTCCCATTATTGGTAAGAGTGTTTATTCTTTTTGGAAAGCAATCTGATGATATTTATTAAATCTTAATGTTCAGTTATGGGCCTGGCTTATATATAAGTTTTAAAAGGGTTAAATTTGTGTGCAATGTATCTGAAATTATAAGAGCCTTTGTTACTTTCTCAGAAGGGTTTTCTGAATCATCACCCTTGGTCTGGTATCCTGTCTTTTTCATAGCAGCTTGTATCACCTTTATCACAATCATAATTAAATATTTGGGTAATTTGTTTGATGGCTGCTTAGGGTTGGTCAGGGCAGCAAAAAAAATTCTTAGTAAGTATTCGATACATAAATTAAAATGTTTGGTATTTGATATATAAATAAAAATGTTGGATATATAAATAAATAGAAACATTTTCCGAATTTTTGGAATGTTTTATTTTGCAATTTAATAAAATTTAAGAAGTGGGAAAAAAGAGAGCTCATCGGCAAAGAAGGCACTGAACCTATTCTTTTATAAAATTGACAGTGCCTCCTTAAAAGCAGAAATGCTTTTGGTTGACACGTAGAAAAGACTTTTTTTGTGCTATCTTGCTTCTCTCTTTCAATAACAAAGTGAAAGCTCAAGAACAAAAAGAGAGAAAGTGGGAGCTGTGCCATAGGCTGCTGCCTGACTGTTCTTGTCTTTCTGACTGTTGTTTCCTGTAGTGAATACCAGGGCCTGGTGAAGCACACAGGAGGCTGTCACTGTGGAGCAGTTCGTTTTGAAGTTTGGGCCTCAGCGGACTTGCACGTCTTTGACTGCAAGTGAGTATTCTCTCTTTCTAAATTGACTTAAAAACTTGAGTTAAAATGCAATGCTTCCACATAATCTGGGGAGTTGGGGTATAGATGAAACATTGGCCTTGAGCTGATAGTCATTGAAGTCAGGTGATGGATACATAAGGGTTCATTGTATTATTCTTTCTTCTTTTGTATGGCTTGAAACTTTCAATAATAAAATTTTTTTAAAAGGTGGAGGGAGGCTAAAAATAACTAACTGCTGTGTGTGTGCATGCGCACAGAGCTCCTACAATACAGCCCCCAGTGACACAAAGCAGGGTCCTCAGGCTTGTGGCTGCAGAGTCACCCCTCAGACTGAGACTGCTAATGAATTGGGGCAGTTAGCTGGAGCTAGGTCAGGCTGGGCAGAGTCCGTGTAGGAGTACAGAGTTGGGGAGGGTTGGAGGGGGCATGAGTGGAGGGTGCGTACTCCTGGAAGCTGCCTGTACTTGGCCCTCCCACTCTGTCCTTTGGATGAGGCAGATGGTACTGCCAGGATCTGTGGAGGGCTTTCTTCTTAGGACCTTCCCCAGCATTATGATAGAACAAGGATGACAGGCTCTGATGCCTGGACCAGCAGTTGGAATTATTCAGTGGTATCCAGTCCTTTTTGACCTGAGGTGGTCCCTGAATTACATATGAATAATAACTAAATACTGTGAATTACTCAAATGGAAAGCTGACTAGGCTACTAACAGTAGAGTCTAGATTGGGAAAAAAGCAGTGTGGAATAATGTAGAATAATTTTTTAGAGGATTCTATTCTAAATTAGAATTTTTAAAAAGGTAGACAGAAAAGAGGAGACTTCAATTTAATTCCAAAGATGGCTAATTCTGTGGGGAATCTGTTTTACTCAGAGCTAGATGTGTTGAGAGGTGTTTGCACAGAGAAATCCAAGACAACGTTGGTATTACAGCTCTTTTTATTAGTTTACAGCTCTTTTTGGTGTTACAGCGCTTTATTGCTTGCAAGCAAGGAGAGCACAAGCATCAGGCTGGTGTCTCCCTGAATGAAGGAAAGGGGCAGCCTCATATAGCCAAAATTTCCCACCCAAGTTCTCATTTAGGTCCTCTTATGCAAATGAGGGATGCAATTCTGTTAATCCAGATTGGTTGGCTATGAGACGTAGCTCATTGGTCAGTTCTGGAGACAAATTTGCATTCGGCCCTTAGGGCAGCGCAAAACCACTCTCACCCTTTCCTTAGCACACGGGTGCAGGAAGCAAGTTAGGTTACAGAAGCCAAAGTTCACGATTAAGACAGACGAGCATAAAATTTCTAAAACAGTTTCTCCAGCGGAAGGGGCAGTTTTAACAATCAGAAAATGCTCAGTGTTCCCTGCTTCATTCCCCACTGGTTTTATGTACATGAGTCAAATCCTAGACTCATCAGCGTTTAATCTGGTGTAATGGGTTCTTAAAACCATAAGCTTTATTGATTGGACTCTTTGATTACTGTATTTTGTGAGGCCAGTGAGTATGCAGGAGCCCACAGTAAAGAGTAATAAGATTATGAGTAGAGGTCCCGTTAGAGCAGTGAGGAGAGTTGTTAACCAGGCGGACCAAGAGAATAAGTTTTCATACCAATATGGTTTTTGTTTCTTATATCTTCCCTTTCTTTTAATCTTTTTCTAACTAGAGAGAGGCTGTCCTTTATTACACCTGAATGATTTGTATAAAAGCAACAGTTTTCTCCTAGAGCTACACATAGTCCACCTTGTTTAAGGAATAAAAGATCAGGTCCCGTCCTATTTTGTAATACTACCTCCACTAGGGAATCTAAGGAAGGTTCTAATCGGCTAACAGATTTTTCTAATTCCCCTAAGTCTAGATCGATTTGTTGGACGTAGGGCTTTAAAGTTTTGATTGCTTGTTATGAGAGCCGTGGTGCTCATAGCTGCAGAGCCTGTAATGCCAAGACCTACAAATAGGGGAATCAAGACAGGAACTGCTCATTTTATGAGGAGGTGCTGCCTCCCTGCTTCTCCTTCATAGTAACAAATTTGGGGAATAATATAGACAATTACACAAAACTCAGTCTTATTAGGTGTAAGGAAATATTGAATAGCTATGCATGGAGTCAATCCTGTCAAACAAGCAAACCAAGCATGAGAAGGGGCAACAAGGTCCGTGGGTTGTACTATTAATGGTTACCGCATATGTACATGTGGTCTGATAGGGGGACCTTTTGAGGTCATAATCATTAGTTTTTATACAAAGTCCTTGGTTTTGCGTACCACCAAGCGTGAGTCTGAGCTTTCATCCCCATGGACACAGTCTGTCTTTGGTGATTTTAGTTAGATTCAGAGACCTAACAGTTTGGTTATTAGTGCCTAAAGAGTTGTTTATCCCTAGGCCAACATAATATGGTGGCTCTGGATTTAGGCATAACCAGCAATCAGTTGTTACATTTGGGTTTGATTGGTTGGTAAACATAAAAACGGAATCTAAAGTTCCTAAGAAGGGGTTGGTGAAAGCATAATCGGAGGTGCGGTTGAGGGACTGGGGCGTTGGAGCTTGGGGGGACGGGTTAGGGTTTAGGGAGCATGAAGGAAGGGGTAGGAGATCCTGGTTAGGGCCTATAGGGATGTTTAATTGATTTTCTCTTTTTTAGTTGAATAGTGAATTCTCCCCCAGGATCTATCCCATTAACATATAGTCTTATGCCCCAGGTTTTGCCTGCTTCTCAAGTATCACTCATAAATGGACTCCAGAGTCTGACAGTTAGGTTGATAGGATTGCATGCCCTTGGCTTATCACAACCTGAGGGTGGGAGTTTTTTGAGGGATATATAGGAGTCTGTGTGAGTCCAGGAGGTCTCAGTTTACAACCCCAAGAAGCACAGTGATATTGTTGGTGCCCCTGATAGGAGGGCTGCAAGCTGCGGGACAGGCATAGAATTGGGCTTGTTGGAGGTTTTTCTCATCTTGGCTGTCACAAATGGTGTAGGACGCGAATCTGGTTCCGGTCATGAGCTCACATAGGTCTACTAGGAAAATGGGGGCACCGGGGGTGTGGACAGACCGAATAACCTCCACAGTTACAGTATCCCTTAATTCCCAGGTGTAATTCTTAGGTTATTGAGGGCTTCCTGACATAGATATTACACAATATAAAACAATTAAGACAGTTAAGGGGATGAGCGAGTGAGTCTTATCTTTAGCGGGTCTCCTGTGGAGCGTTGCACCGTCCATTTTTCCTGATGTTGTCCTAGCTCTGTTGATTCTGGAGTGGAGGCTCACTTAAGCTGAGAAAGATGTATCCAACGGTGCTTTCCTGCTACCTTTGCAGCCATCGGGGTGATCAAGATGATGGGGAAAGGTCCTTGCCATCTAGGTTCAAGGGTCAAAGGATGGTGACGTTTCACCTATACGAGGTCACCTGGTTGGTATGGGTATGGCGTCAGATCCTTTGTTGGCAGGTAGGCTTCTCTGACCAACGGATGGATCTGGTTCAACACCTGTTGGAGGGCTTGGAGAGACTGCAGGAGATTATGGTTAGTAAGCTCAGCAAGTTTGTCATCTCTGAGGCAGGGTAGCAAAGGAGGTGGTCTCGCAAACATAATTCCATATGGGGTGATCCCATTTATATATGGGGCTCATCTAGCCCTTAATAGGGCAAAGGGAAGGAGGCTCACCCAGTTTTCACCAGTCTCCAATTTTAATTTAGTCAAAGTTTCCTTTTTTTTTTTTTTTTTTTGAAAGATGACCAGTAAGGGGATCTTAACCCTTGACTTGGTGTTGTCATCACCACGCTCAGCCAGTGAGTGAACCGGCCATCCCTATATGGGATCCGAACCCGGGGCCTTGGTGCTATCAGCACCGCACTCTCCCGAGTGAGCCACGGGCCGGCCCCAAAGTTTCCTTTAAAGTCCGATTCATCCTCTCCACCTGTCCTGAACTCTGTGGCCTATAAATACAGTGTAAGTTCCATTTTATTTGTAGGACTTTTGCTAATAATTGAGAAATTCAGGCTATGAAAGCTGGACCATTATCAGACCCCAAAGTTATAGGCAGACTGAATCGGGGAATAATTTCCGTAATAATTTCTCTAAATGTTATCTGAGCAGTTTCAGTCTTTGTAGGAAAAGCTTCCACCCACCCAGAAAAGGTGTCTATAAATACCAAGAGATGTCGGTACCCATACTGTCCCAGTTTTACCTCGGTGAAGTCAACTTCCCAATGTTCTCCAGGGTTAGATCCCCGTGTTCTGGTTCCTGTAGGTGCTTCTGGGTTTTGTCCTGGATTTATTTGTGAACAAACTTTACATCATTTTACAAAGGCTTTTGTTAATTTGTCTAAATCGTGAATATAATAATTTTTCCGCAACAATTCAGTCAATTTAGTAGCTCCGAGATGTGTCCCTTGGTGTAGCTGTTCTATTAATAATCTTACTAGTGCTTTAGGTAGATATATTCGGTGATCTGGTAAGGTTTTCCAACCTGTATCATTGTCCTTAGTGTCCAATGCTTTGGCATGTATGATTTCTTCTTCAGTGTAATGTGGGACTGGTGGCAGATGGGTTGCTGGCATGACTACTGAAGAATTTGATGGCCCCACTGATTTAGTGTGGCCTCTTTTGCTGCTCCGTCTACCGCAGCATTTCCTTGGGCCTCATCAATTGAGTCACCTGTTTGGTGTCCTCAGCAATGGATAATGGCCACCTTTTTAGGATAGCATATGGCCTTGAGGAGAGCTAGAATCTCCTCTTTGTTTTTTAGGTCTTTCCCTCCCGATGTTATTAGTCTTCTTTGTTCTAAAGGGTCCCATGTATGTGGGCTGTGGCAAAAGCATATCTGCTGTCAGTGCATATGTTGACAGTTTTGTCTTTTCCATGTATTAGAGCTTGTGTTAAGGCTACAAGTTCAGCCTTTTGAACGGATGTCCCTTGGTTTAAAGCCTGTACCCAGATGACCTGTTCCCGTGTGACTACAGCTACCCCGGCATACCTGATTCCATTGGAGATGAAGCTGCTCCCATCCGTGAACATCACCTCATCAGGGTCCGGCCAAGGCACATCAGTCAAGTCAGGTTGGAGTCCTTGCAGGGTTTCTATAGTTTCGAGGCAGTCATGGAGGGGTTTCTCCAGGTCATCATCCGGGAGGAGAGTTGCTGGATTCAGAGCTGTAGTCTTAAGAAACTTTATTTGAGGCTGGTCTAAAAATAAAGCCTGGTATTGAGTGGTGTGGGCGTTGGTGAGCCAACGCTTGACTGCACTTTTCAGGAGAGCTTGTACAATGAGGTGCTACCAGGCTTATATTCTGCCCTAAGGTTAGTTTATCTGCTTCCTTCACCAATAAAGCGGTTGCGGCTATAGCCCGGAGACAGGCCAGCCATCCAGCACCTACATTATCCAATCTCTTGGAGAGGTAGGCCACCGGCCTTTTCCATGGACCCAGGGTCTGGGTAAGTACTCCCTTCGCTATGCCATGTTTCTCAGCAATAAACAAGGCGAAGGGCTTATTTACGTCTGGTAGTGCTAGGGCAGGAGCCGTGGTAAGCACCTTTTTCAAATCATTGAAATCCTGTTGTTTAATCTCAGTCCACAGCAGGGAGGTTTGTTTTCCCCCAGTGCTAGAGTACAAGGGCTTAGGTATTTCAGCAAACCCAGGTATCCAGAGGTGGCAGTAACCTACGGCACTCAAGAATTCATGGGCCTCTTTCTTAGTCCTTGGGGTTGGGATCTTTAGAATTGTCTCTATTCTGGAGGACAAAGTTCTATTTCCTTTCTTTTTTTTTTTTTTTTGTCTTTTTTTCATGTCCGGCAACGGATCGCAACCCTCAGTGTCGCGCCCATACCAGACCAGGACCGGCAACGGGATCGCAACCCTCGGTGTTGCACCCACACCTCGCTCAGCCAGTGAGCGGGAACCGGTCTGTATGTGGGATCCGAACCCTCGGCGGGAGCGCCACCGCACTCCTAAGCGGCGCACTGTAGCAGTGTGCCATCGGGCCGGCCCTATTTCCTTTCTGTAGTTCATACCCCAGGTAGGTGGCTCTTGGGGTTCATAATTGGGCCTTTTTAGCTGAGACTCGATACCCTAGAATTTGTAATTCCCATAATAAGTCTTTTGTGGCCTCCTTGCAGGTCTCATAGTCTTTAGTGGCCAACAAAAGGTCATCTACATATTGTAGTAGAGTGACCTCAGGATGTTGTTTTCAGTATGGCATGAGATCTTGGCTCAATGTTTCGTCAAACAAAGTTGGGGAATTTTTAAACCCTTGAGGTAACCGTGTCCATGTCAGTTGCCCCGAATATCCCCCCTCTGGATCTGTCCACTCGAAGGCAAATAGAGGTTGGCTTACCTCGGCCAGCGGGAGGCTGAAGAAGGCATCTTTAAGGTCTAACACAGTGTAGATCTGGTGAGATGGTGGCAGCAGTAGGCTAAGGAGGGGGTAGGGATTCAGGATGGTTGGATGGAGGGTCTTCACGTGTTTGTTCACTTCCCGTAGATCCTGAACAGGTCAGAAATCTGAAGTACCTGGTTTTTGTACTGGGAGGAGAGGAGTATTCCATGCTGACTTACACGGAACTAGAATATTAACTTCCTTTAGTCTCTGGATGTGGACAGCTATTCCTCGTTTGGCTCCCAAGGGAGTAGGATATTGCTTCACTTGGATAGGAATAGTCTGGCTTGTAAGCTGAACCACGATGGGGGTCGGTGAATGGCTACACCTGCGGGGTTTGTTTCTGCCCATACTCCTGCGATTTCTTGTTTTAGTTCCTCCATGGTGGAACTTGAGTCAGTGGGCAAGGGAGCCTTCGTGGCTACCATACATTCTTCACTGATTGGGCACGTTATCATTATTTGGGTAAGGGGTACAAGATTAAGAGTCAGTCCCATTGTGTTCCCCTTGAAAGATATGGTGGCCTGTAGCTTCTGCAGTAAGCCCCTTCCCAGCAGTGGGTATGGGCAATCTGGCATGACAAGGAAGGGGTAATAGTCCCTTGTCCTAGGTTAGTAATTCTTGCCTTGGTCCAAGGGTAGGATTGCAACTTTCCTGTAGCCTCCTGGACCAAGGTTTTTCTAGCAGATAAATGTCCATCAGTTTCAGTTAGAACAGAATAAGTGGCCCCTGTGTCTACAAGGAAGGCCACTGGTTTGCCCCCTACTTGTAAAGTTACCTTGGGCTCCTGGGGGCTCATAAGTATGGAGCCCTGGCCTCATCAGTCCTCAGAATTATCTAGCTGTAGAACATGGGCATTCTTCTTATTTAGTAGGGGGCATTTGTCCTTCCAATGGCCTTTCTTCTTACAGAACACACATTGGTCCCTCTCTAGAGGGGCCCTGGGCCTTCTGGAGGAGTTTCCCTTCTGTCCTATTTGAGGTCTCACATCTTTGGGTCCCTTTAATATAGCTCTTTGGGACTCAGTAAGCGCAGTTACCATTATCTTAGCCATTCTTTTTGTTTGTTTTTCTTCAGGGCTATCTCTGGCTTTATAGACCCTCTGGGCTATTTCAACTAGCTCAGATAACAGTTTCCCTTCAAATCCTTCCTGCCTCTGAAGTTTCTTCCTAACATCAGGGGCTGACTGAGTAATAAAGGCAATATTTATTGCCCGCCTGTTTTCTGGGGCCTCAGGGCCCACAGGTGTGTAGACCCTATAAGCTTCCATGAGGTGCTCCAAAAAAGTGGCTGGGGACTCGTTTGGTCCCTGAATTGTTTCACTTACCTTTGAAAGGTTTGTGGGACTCCTGGAAGCTGCACGGAGTCCTCTAAGGAGAGTCTGGTGATACAGATCGAGATCCCCCTTATCTTGATCCATGTTTGGGTCCCACTGGGGTTTGTTTGAGGGGGATATGCATTCAAGCTGAACAGGGTCATCAAAGCGTTGGCCATCATGACCGGTAACAGTCTTTAAGGCCTCGCAGCGGATGCGCTCACATTCCTCCAACATGAAGAGTCTGGAGGAGCTGCTGGCAATCATCCCAGGTGGGCTGGTGTGTAAAGAACAGTCTCCAAGAGGGAGATGAGACTGTGTGGGCTTTCAGCAAAGGAAGGATTCTGGTTTTTCCAGTTATACAAATCTCTCGTGGAGAAGGGAATATAGACCATGAAGGGGGTTTGGTCTTGACTTCTGCGGGGGAGGGAGCCTGTCAGATTGGGAGTAGAGGTACGGGGGAAGCACCATAAGGAGAAGGGTCAGACTCAGAGTCCCTCCCAGTCTGGTAAGTGGTCCACTCCTCATACGTGGGGGACTTAAGAGTACAGTAGAGTCGGGAGAAGTAGATTATGGAGGAGGCACACTAGGAGAGACAGGAACAGGAAGATCAATAAGGTTCTCTGAGGCATCCTGGAGAACAGGAGGCTTAGCGGGTCTAGTTGGAAGAGGGGACTTAGTCACCAAAATTTTTTCCTTTTTCTTATCCCTCTTTTTGCCATCTTGTTTGTCCCCCTTCCAGCCATCCAGATAGGCAGACCTAGGTTTCCCAAATCGGGGCTGAAGACACTGTTTCAACTAGGAGGGCATCTTGTCCACGATCTCCATCCAAACCTGAATATAGAGAACCTGATCAGGGTAACCTGGAGGAGAAGTCCCAAGACAGCAGCCCTGGACTTGATAGGCTGTTGGGAGATCAATGGTCCCATATGGGGCCATCCCACACCAAATGTGGGCCATTCTAATTCAAAATTTTCTGAGGTTGTAGGGGTCTGCTGAAGCCCCGAAATCAGCAGCCTTTTTCTGAAACTAAAGTGAGTTATCATTGCCTGTAAAGGGGTGACCCCGCAAACGGGCCGGGAGATATTCTTTCCCATAATACTAATCAAGACTACACAAACTGATGCACAAAGTATCTTCACTTTTTGGGAACTGGGGCAGAAAAAGTCAATCTAAAAGGTACACCGACTCAATGAGATGGCTAGGAAACACCGTAATGACAGGAGGTATAGGAATGCCAAAAAAAATTTTTTTGTATTGGTGCAGTCTCTTGGGGCAGCGGATACCAATCCTATGGCCAGTATTAGGACAAGTAGCGCAATAAAGGTTAGAGACACAGGATGGCATATACTTATCATGTTTCACTATGGCAAGCTCACATCAGGACCACGGTTAATGACACACAACTGGCAGCACACAAAAGACAGAGACAAGTGGCCACGTCAGATTCCAAACAATTCCAAACCAAAGGACCAAACATTTCCAGACCAAAGGACCCAATGATGTTTTGTGGAAGTCCTAGACTTGGGAATTAGTGCTGCATCCAATCTTCCACAAAGTCCCCAAATCAGAGCTCTGATATCCAAATGCAAAACCAAGTTTTTTGAGATCTCAAACCAAAACTTACCTCTGGAGGTTCAAAATGCAGAGTAGGAGGATGAACAAAGATGAACAAAGACTTTGGTGCCAATTGAAGACAATTGAAGAATTTGGTGGTGTTTGGGCTTTTGGGCAGGGGCCAAAGTATCCTAGGGCCGAGGAACATCTCTTTGGTGGCCTCCCCTAGGATCTGTGGCGAGACCAACCCTGGGGCTGAGGAATGTCTTCTCAGTGGCCTCCCCTGGGGAGACTTGCCACATTGCCCTTCATCGGGAGCTGTGGTTTCTGGTTCCTTTGAGCGAGCAACAGGAAATCTCACTGGGGCCTCCAAATGTTGGGAGGTCCTCGCACAGAGGAATCCAAGACCAACATTGGTATTACAGCTCTTCATTAGTTTACAGCTCTTTTTGGTGTTACAGTGCTTTATTGCTTGCAAGCAAGGAGAGCACAAGCATCAGGCTGGTGTCTCCCTGAATGAAGGAAAGGGGCAGCTTTATACAGCCAAAACTTCCCACCCAAGTTCTCATTTAGGTCCTCTTATGCAAATGAGGGGTGCAAGTCTGTTAATTCAGATTGGTTGGCTATGAGACACAGCTCATTGGTCAGTTCTGGAGTCAAATTTTCATTTGGCCTGTAGGGCAGCACAAAACCACTGTTACCCTTTCCTTAGCACAGGAGTGCAGGAAGCAAGCTAGGTTATAGAAGCCAAAGTTCACGATTAAGACAGACGAGCATGAAATTTCTAAAACAGTTTCTCCAGTGGAGGGAGGCAGATTTAACAATCAGAAAATGCTCAGGGTTCCCTGCTTCAGATGTAGAGATGAGCAAAGAGGGAAACCTAAGCTTCCTTGTCCATTTTTGGTGAGGATATCTCAGAGGCATAAGATTATAGCAGTATTTGAAATTTGTGTGGTTTTTTGTTTGTTTTGGCAGCTGTCCAGTATGGGGATCTGAATCCTTAACCTTGGTGTTATAACACCGTGCTCTAACCAACTGAACTAACTAGCCAGCCCCCTGAAATTTGTTTTAAGTGTCTTTCCCTTAACTGGGGGGTGGGCAGCAGAGCCGTGGTTCTGTTGGTCCTGGTTGTCTTAGCAGTGTGTAGCTTCGACTGCTGGCTTTGGGACCTGCAGGCTCCACTGCATGTGCAGATCAGAGGCCAAGGTGTCCAGTCCATCCTCCTGAGCTCCCCTTCCCTGGACAGTGCTGAAAGGGGCTTCACTGTCAGGGTCAGCTGGCTTGCACATAAGGACAGGCTGGGCTGCTTGGGCACACAGGATGTATATGGCCGTTCACAATCTGGACTTTGCTCTGTCTTTCTGTAGCTGCAGCATTTGCAAGAAGAAGCAGAATAGACACTTCATTGTTCCAGCTTCTCGCTTCAAGCTCCTGAAGGTTAGTGCTTAAGAGCAGGGTCAAGGAGTGCAGAACCCATTTGTGAGGATTTGTGAACCCTGACTTATGGTATGTCCTCTGTAGAGTATGGGGGGCAGGAAGTGTAGCAGGGCCTCTCAGGGCATCAGTTTCCCTTTTTTACCCAGGTTTCATGTTTACTTTTAAAAGGTTATGTTATTTGTTCCCTTTATTTTTTGGAGGCATATTTGATATTATTGTAGAAACATTTTCAAATTCAGAGAATAAAAAAATAATAAGATCACAACCAGTTTCAGATTTCTCTGTTCTTTCTCCACTCCACTGCTTCCCTTGACTAGTCTAAACAATTAATTAATAAAATTGCCCAAATTCTATTAACCAAAGGTAACCACTATTAATATTTTGGCATATGTTCTTATGCATTATTTTCTACACAGGTAAATACATCTAATTATATTGTCATTTTTTTAAAAGTTGAATTTTATCATTCTTTCTATTTATAACCTGCTTTTATCATTTTCCAATGAAAAACATATAATTCTTATTTTTAACTTTAATTTTATTATTTTGGAGAATTCTTTTCCCCCACTGTCCCCCAGGCCTCCAGGCTCTTGCCTACACCCAATTTCCTGGTTTACTTGTCGCATCATTCCTGTGTTTGCAGTATCAGACTTCTAGGTTGAGTCCATTTTTTCTTGCAATTATGAACACCACTGTGGTGAACCTCCCTGTGTATAGATCTTTTGACAATTTAGAAATTTTTTTTAGGATCTATTCTCTTAGAATTAAAATCTCTGGGTCAAAGAATACTTTTTTAAAAAAGCTTTCAACACATGGGTGATGTGGGGTTGGGTGGGGCTTCAATTCCATCTTTTGCTGCCACTTCCCCGTCACGGTCTGACAGACCTCTCTGTGCCTGTACTGGTAGTTTTTGTGTAATTATCTGCCTCTTTTACTTGACCATGAGTGTCTCCGAGGCAGGTACCACCTTTCCTCATGTCTGACCCACTCCTGGCCTCGGAGGGCTTGGCATTGAGTTGGGCACTCAGCAAGTGTCTGGGAAGACTGACCAAGTGAACAATTGCATAAGTCCTGGTCTTTCCAAGTTAGTAAGAGTTAGTCCTAAGTGCACTGGGTCAATTTGTCTCCTTTTCTTTTGCCTGTCCCTTGATTATTGAACAACATACTGGTTGGTTTGGGTGTCTGGTAGGGTAGGTAGGTTATTTTTGGAGTAAGTACAAAATGTATTCATTCATTCAAGTATTTATGGGGCACCTACTGTGTGCCAGGCACTGTTCTACTGAAATAGCAGTTGACATGACAGTCAAGCCCCTTATTCACCTGGAGCTTACCTTCTATAGGTTGGGAGACAGATACATAAGTAAGAAAAGAATCCAGTAGTTTAAGTGCTATTTAGAGAGTTAAGGTGGAGCAATATGATAGAGCATAGCTGGGTGGCCACGTTAGATTGATTGTGGTGTTTAGATCTAAATGATGATGATGGCATGTGTGCATGTGGGGGGCAGGAAGAGGGTTCTGGGCAAAAGGGACAGATGGTGGGTAGTGCAGAGGGCTTCTAGGGCACAGGCTTGGCATGTCAGAAGAGCTGAACAATGGCCGGAGGGTAGTCGGTGGGGTGGGGTGGGTAGAAAGTGGACTGAGATGGGTCTGGAGAGTTAGGCAAGACCAGATGAGGAGACAGAGTCTATGCTCAGTGTCGTGTGAACCCACGGAGGATTTTATGCAAGGTAGTGACATGATCTGATTCAGTGTTTTGAAAGCTCACATGGGCTGCTGTGTGGAAAATGGCCTGTAAGGGGTAAGTGTGGAGACAGGGAAGCAGTTAGGAGGTGGTTGTGGTATGCCAGGTGAGAGACAGTGGAAGCTTGGGTTGGGATGACAGTCATGGAGAGAGAAAGAAGATAGGTCACTGGAGACATGTTTCACAGCAGTGGTTCTAAAACTCGAGTGTGTGCACAGTCACCTGGAGGGCGTGTTAAGTCACTCCTGATTCTGTAGGTCTGGGGTGGGACCCAGGAATTTACAGTTCTTACAAGTCCCAGGTGAGGCTGATGCTGATGCTGCTGGTCCAGGGACCACACTTTGAGAACCACTGTTTTAGAGGTAAACAAAACTACAGAAAGGACTGGATGTGGAGATGAGGAAAAGAGAGGAGTCGAATTTGCATCCAAAACGTTGGGCCGGAGCAACGAGTTGAATGGAGACACTGGATCCCAGGGGAGAAGTGGGTATGGGGTGGGGGTTGGGGTGCTGGAATCAAGAGTTCTGTTTTGAAAAATATCAGTTTAACGTGTCTTTTGAACATTCATATGGATAAAGGAAGTGGGTAAGTCTGGACTTCAGGAGAGAGGTCAGAGCTGGAGCTACCAGCTTGGGAATTTGTTGGCGTATCAATGTTATTTAGAGCAGTGGGACTGCATGAAGTCAGCTGGGGAAACGGTAGCCAGAGAAGGGAGAGGGCTGAGGACAGCCTTCGGGCGTGCCAGCATTTATAGAGAGTTGAACAGAAGAGGAAGGGAAGTGAGCAGAGGGGCCTGAGAAGAATGGCTAGCAGGGAAGGAGAAAAAACAGGACAGCATGGCGTCCTCAGAGGGATACGTCCCAAGGTGGGAGGAGTGCCACTGAGAGGTCCAGTTAAGGAGAGCCCAGGGTCAGGAGGAGTGACCCTCAGGTTTGTTAGCTGGTCACTGGTGATTTTGACTGGACAGGAAGACAGGAAGACAGAAGAAATGACCAAAGAGGTTGACTGTACAGCAGAGTTGGACGATGATAGGCCGTGTGTTCTCGTGGGGAGTAGGGATGGTGGGGTCAGGCTGGCAGATGCACAGAATGATGTGGGGATGAGGGACAGTGGTAAGAAACCTCCACCTCTTACCCTTTGGCCACCCAATGCTCTCCCTGGAGGTAAACCACTGTGTCTCGGATAACTCTTCAGAGACGGATATGCATTTAGAAGCCCGTACAAGTATATATCCTTTAAAAAAAAAATAGAAACCGTAGTATACTACACAAAGTTAACTTTATAACCTTGGAGATTTTTCCATATCGGTATTTGTGAAGCTGCTCATTCTTTTCAAAAGTTGTAGAATATTCGGTTTTATGAGTGTCCATAATTGTTTGAGCCAGTCCTCTATTGGTGGACATTTTTAATTTTTCCAATCTTTAGCCTTTACAAATGGTGCTATAATACCATATACCTGTGTCATTTGAAACACAGGGAATTACATCTGCAGGATAAATTTATAGAATTCCTGTGTTAAAGGATATGTGCACTTTTGGTAGATGTTGCTAAATTTTGCCAATTCATATTCCCATGACTGATAGATGAGTGCATATTTCTCCTCATATTCATCACTATTGTTATTGAACTTTTTGATTTTCTGCCCACCTGTGAAAAATATCTCATTGCAGCTCATCAGTGTGGGTATCATTGCATAGGTTTAGGTGCAGTTTGTTTTTCCTTTTCTCTGAACTGTCCATTCATGTCCTTTGCCCAGTATCCCATTAGTATAATCCATTAAAGAAATTAGCCCTTTGTCTCTGATGGCTGGCAAATATTGTTTCTTAAGCCCTTGAGCAGTGCTGTTTGGGGCCGGGGAGAGATCCAGTGAGCTTTGTGTAGGCCCGGAAGACAGACATTTTCACTCGCTGATGTCACAGGGCGTCCTGCCTCCCCGTGGAGAAGGGAAGGCTTGAGGCTGAGTTCTGTGCAGTTGACCTAAGAGAAGCTGTGAGCTATCATGCTCCAGACTGAAGTGTCTCCAGGTAGTGTAGGTTAGTCCCTGTCCTCAAGAAGCTTCCAGTCTTTTGTGGGAGATAGGGCATGTCCTTATAATCTTGAGAGCCTTACAAAAGGGCTTCCCCCATTAACCTTTTAAAAAGATTTTTTTTGGGCCGAGCCCGTGGCACACTCGGGAGAGTGCAGTGCTGGGAGCGCAGCAGCGCTCCTGCCGCGTGTTCGGATTCTATATAGGGATGACTGGTGCGCTCACAGTGCTCACTGGCTGATCACGGTGCGGCCCGTCTCAAAAAGGACAAAAAAAAAAAAAAAAGATTTTTTTCTTTTTTTGTGGCGAATGGCTTGTATGGGGATTTGAACCCTTGGCTTTGGTGTTACAATGCTGTGCTCTAAGCAACTGAGCTAACTGGCCAGCCCTAAAAGTTTTATTTATTTATTTATTTTTATTATTTTATTTAACATTTTTATTTATTATTAGCATATTCATTTTTTACAAATTGTGATATTTCTTTATGCCCTTTGCCCTACCAATCACTTCCCAATCCCTATCCCCCACCTCCAGCATCCTTGGGTTGGTTCTGTCCTTCTGAAAGTTCAGCTTATTGTTGTGGTCTTTTCTCTCTTTCTTTCCTTCATTCATTCCTTCCTTCTTCCCTCCTTCCCTCCCCTGCCCCCTTCCTTCCTTGCATCCAGTTATGAGTGAGAACATGCAGTGTTTCTGTTTCTTTGTCTGGCTTATTTCATTTCACATAATTTTCTCCAGACTCATCCATGTTACTGCAAATAGCAGAATTTCATTCTTTTTATGGCTGAGTAATATTCTATTGTATATATATACCTCATTTTCTTTATCCAGTCATGTGTTAATGGACATTTAGGTTGGTTCCATGTTTTGGCTATTGTAAATAGAACTACAGTAAACATAGGAGAGTAGGTATCCCTTTGACATGATGATTTCTGTTCCTCTGGATATATACCCATCAGTGGGACTGCTGGATCATATCGTAGCTCTATCTGTAGTTGTTTGAGAAACCTCCATACTATTTTCCATAATGGCTGTGCGAGTTTACAGTCCCACCAACAGTGTAGAAAAGTTCCCTTTTCCCCACATCCTTGCCAGTATTTGTTATTCTTGGTCTTTTTAATAATGGCCAGTCTAACTGGGGTGAGATGATATCTCAGTGTGGTTTTGATTTGCATTTCTCTGATGACTGGCGATGCTGAACATTTTTTCAGGTATGTGTTGGCCATTTGTATGTCTTCCTTTGAAAAATGTCTATTCATCTCCTTTGACCATTTTTTAATTGGATTATTTGTTTTTTTATTGTATAGTTGTTTGAGTAATTTTTAGATTCTGGATATTAATCCCTTATGGGATGTATAGTTTACAGATATTTTTCTCCCATTCTGTAGGTTGTCTTTCTGCTCTGTGATTGTTTCCTTTGCTGTGCAGAAGCTTTTTGGTTTGATATAATCCCATTTATATATTTTTGTTGTTGTTGCTTGTGCTTTTGGGGTCTTATTCATAAAGTCTTCATCCAGTCCTATTACCTGGAGTGTTTCTCCTATATTTTCCTTTTGTAATTCTATGGTTTCAGGTCTTACATTTAAGTGTTTAATCCATTTTGAGTTGATTTTGGCATATGGTGAGAGATACAGGTCCAGTTTCATTATTCTGCATATAGATGTCCAATTTTCCCTGCCCCATTTATTTTTTATTTTTATTTATTTATTTTTTTCCCTGCCCCATTTATTGAAGAGGCAATCTTTTCCCTAATCTCAATTGATGCAGAAAAGTCATTCAACAAAATTCAACATCCCTTCATGACTAAGACTCTCAGCACATTAGGTATAGAAGGAAATTATCACAATACAATAAAAGCCATTTATGACCGATCAATCGCCAGTATCATCGTGAATGAGAACAGGAACAAGACAAAGATGCTCTCACTCTCACCACTCCTATTTAACATAGTACTGGAGGTACTAGCCAGAGCAATAAGGCAAGAGAAATAAATACAGGGCATCAAGATTGTAGAGGACGAGGTCAAACTGTCCTTGTTGGCTGACGACATGATCTTATATATAGAAAAACCTATAGACTCTACCAAAAAACTCTTACAGCTGATTAACAATTTCAGTAATTTTGCAGGATACAAAATCAACACCCAAAAATCAATAGTGTTTTTATACTCCAGTAACAAACTAGGAGAAAATGAAATCAAGAAAGCAAGCCCATTTACAATAGTTGCCAAAAAAAAATAAAATACCTACGTATCAATTTAAAAGGAGGTGAAAGATCTCTACAGTGAGAACTACAAATCACTGCTGAAAGAAATTAAAGAGGAAACAAAAAGGTGGAAAGACATACCATGCTCTTGGATGAGAAAAATTAACATCATGAAAATGTCCATTCTACCCAAAGCAATCTTTGGGTAGAATTTTGATGCAATCTCCATCAAAATACCAATGACATTCTTCACAGAAATAGAAATAGCAATCCAAACTTTCATATAGAACAACAAAAGCAATCCTAAGCAAAAAAAAGTAAAGCCTGGGCCGGCCCGGTGGCTCACTGGAGAGTGCGCTGCTTGTGAGTGCAGTGGTGCTCCCGCCGAGGGTTCGGATCCCATGTGGTGACCAGTTCCCGCTCACTGGCTGAGCGTGGTGCAGGCGCAACACTGAGGGTTGCAATCCCATTGCCGGTCCCCGGTACGGGCGCGACACCGAGGGTTGCAATTCCGTTACCGGCCAGTAAAAAAAAGACAAAAAAATAAATAAATAAATAAATAAATAAATAAATAAAGCCAAAGGCATAACACTACCTGACTTCAAATTATATTATGAAGCTGTTGTAACCAGAACAGCATGGAACTGGCATAAAAATGGAGACTCAGTTCAAAAGTAGAAAACCCAGGAATCAACCCACATACTTACAGCCAACTGATCTTTGACAAAGGCAGTAAGAATATTTATTATTTCTTAAAAAATTTTTATTGAAGGGCCGAGCCTGTGGCACACTCGGGAGAGTGCGGCGCTGGGAGCGCAGCAGCGCTCCCGCCGCGGGTTCAGATCCTATATAGGGATGACCGGTGCGCTCACAGCGCTCACTGGCTGAGCGTGGTGTGGCCAGTCTCAAAAAGGACAAAAAAAAAAAAATTTTATTGAAGCATTATTATGCGTATTTTGGGGGTACAATGTTGAGTATTATCACTTGTGTACAACACCTGTTGATCAAGTGAATATTATTAACATGTTCATTATCACGAATGGTAATTATTCTTTATGCCCCTTACCCAATCTCTCCCCACCCCCTCCCTTCTCCCCTCCCATCTCTAGTAGCCATAGATTTGTTCTCTCCTGAAAGATCAGCATATTATTGTGGTCTTTTCTTTCTTTCTTTCTTTCTTTTTTTTTTTTATCATTATACAGTGTAGTTGGCTTTTGTGGCCCTTTACCAATTCCTTCCTCCCCTGCTTTCTCACCCCCCTCAAAATCATATCTGTTCTCTTATCTTAAAAAGATTTATTTTTTAAATGACATAAAAAAAATCTCTTTATAAAAAGAGAACACCTATTTGTTTTCACCTAGGGAGCCGAGAGCATAACAACCTATACATTCAACACACACAAAGCCCAGCACACCTTCTGTAAGAGATGTGGTGTTCAGAGCTTCTATACTCCCCGCTCAAACCCCGGAGGCTTTGGTAAGTAAAGAGGATGGACCGCAAGCTCGGGGCGGGGGATGGGGACAGAGAGGCCCTGGGGCTCTGGGTTAGAGAACTGGCTGGGCAGGGAGGCTCTGGAATACGTGGCTTGCCTCCTGCCTGGCCAGGCCCTCTCACACATGTTCTAGAACAGGGCTCTTCAGCAGAGCTCTTTTCAAATGGTAAATCAGTCTGAATTCCGTATTGGAATATGGCGAAGTCTTTTCCGGGGTCCAGCTGGATCATTCTCATTCACCGGTGCTGTCAGAGCTGAAGGTCACGGGGATGACACTGAGGGGTGGAGAGAGGGTGGGTGGGGAGAGGCCCGTGGGCCAGGAGAGACAACTTTAATAGTGACAGGGGTTAAGGCAGTGAAGTTGGCAAGAATGAGGAGCATTGTTAATGCCATTTTTTAAAAAATTTGGTTTGTTCAAAAACAATCTGGAGTATCTCCAAGCCCCTGCTTGGATCTGGGGGGCAATAAAACCAACGTCAAATGTTGTTCACAATAACAAGTGCAGTGTGCGTCGAGGGGGTGAGGTCGAAGTGTTCCTGAGGACTCTCGTTCCCTGTACAAATGCAGCCTCCAGAGCTGTGGGGCCGCTGTGGCCATGACTGTCCTCCGCCTTTGTTTTTTCGGGGGGCATGATATCACCCTTGCCCCCCATTCTTTAGCAGCTCCTGTTTGTGCCTCACCTGTCACATGGAGACTCCTTCCTGCTTACCTCGTGAAACAGGAAATGGGAAAGTATTTAATTCTTAGAAAGTTATTTATCTAAACACAGGAAAGGCCGTGAAGTCTTCAGGCTGCCAGTCAGAGATTGCTCTAGGCTTGAGCCTTTCGACTGTTTTGTTCTCTCAGCTTGGTATCGAATCATGTCCAGCCTTGGCCATCCCTGGTTCAAGGCGTCTGATCCCTATCTGGCAGATGACAGTGAGCCAGAAATCTGACGGCGTAAGCTGTAGCGTATCACTCGGAAACCCTGATACGCAGTACAGCGATGATAGTACAGTGGTGCCTGCAGGTGGGGGTTTGTCCAGGAGCCAGTACAGTATCTCTTCTCACCTATACTTGGGACCTCCCTTTCTCTGTGCCACTTCCCCTAGGAATCGCCCCACACTGCCTGGATGAGGGCACTGTGCGGAGTGTGGTTACTGAGGACTTCAACGGCAGCGAGTGGGAAAAGGCCATGAAGGAGCACAAGACCATTAAGAACATGTCTAAAGAGTGAGCTTCTGCTTCTCGCTTCCTGAAAGCTGTTCCTGCTGCACCTTGGTGGTGCTCCTGTGTGGGACTATTGGCCCTGTTGGCCGGCGGCCACCGTGACCTCTGCGGTTTGTCCAGCTACCAGTTTCTTTAGGCAGCTCTCTGTCCTTCCTTAGCCCAATTTTTGATGTAGGCTAGTTGACATCCTTCCTTCTCTTCCCAACTTTTGTGTGATCTTTTAGGAAAAAAAATAAATATTTTTAACATTAAAGCAGTTACTATGGTTTATCATTTCCTTTGCACTTTGATTTTGCCTCCAGGGCTAGGCAGTTAGTAGAAGGTATTTATTGAGCACTGTCCAGATGTTTGCAACTAATGTGGGAAGAAGAGATGAGGCAGATGGACCATTATTAAAAATAGAAGACTGAATGATTACCATCCATGTGAGCTGTAAATATAAGCTGTAAATATTACCATCCATGTGAGCTCTAGGAGTTCAGAGGAGAGAGAGGGCTGGTCAAGGAAGACTTAGGGAGGGTACAATTTGAATCAATTTATTTTAAAAGGTAAAACAGCTTCTATTTTTTTTTCTTTTCTTTTTTTTTTTTTTTTTTGTCTTTTGTCTTTTTCCGTGTCCGGCAACGGATCGCAACCCTCAGTGTTGCCCCCGTACCGGACCAGGGACCGGCAACGGGATTGCAACCCTCGGCGTTGCTCCCGCACCTCGCTCAGCCAGTGAGCGGGAACCAGTCTGTATGTGGGATCTGAACCCTCGGGCGGGAGCGCCGCCGCGCTTCCCAAGCGGCGCACTTATCCAGTGCGCCACCGGGCCGGCCCTTTTTTTCTTTTTTAATTGTAATAAAATGCACATAACATAAAATTTATCATCTTGACCATTTGTAAGTGTACAATTCAGTAGTAAGTACATTCACGCTGCTGTGCAACCATCACCACCCTCCGTCTCCAGAATTCTTTATCTTGCAAAATTGAAACTCTACCCATTAAACAGCACTTTGAGTCTATCTTTAAGGGAAGCAAGATTTAGGACGATAGAAGGGGGAACCAGCTGTGTGAACTGACATATGAACACGTGCAGAAGCCAGGCGGGACTGCAGGCCTGTGATGGGAGGAAGGAATGGAGATCAGAAAGGTACGATGAAGCCAGACTGTGGATGGTCTTGGATATGAGGCTCAACAATTGGGTCTTTATCTTACAAGCGTTGGGAAGCCCTGAACAGTGTTGACGGTGCCGTCAGGCAGTCTGCTGACGGGTTTCCATCTCCTGCTCTCCTTCCCCCGCATTGCATCCTTTCATTACCAGCACTGAGTATACACATAATGGCAAACACTTGACAAATATTTGCTCTTTGCTCCAGGCAAATTAATCATTAAATGATTTGAAAGTAGTCTAGACAAGGAAAAGGAACAGGAGGAGGAAATAAAGATGACCAGTTCTCAGTTTGCTGGGCTGGTATCTGAGAGTCACACTCACTATAAGGGTGGAAGAAGCTAGGCGACCCCCAGGAACTGGACTTTCAGGGCCAGAACTCCAGGTATTCTTAACCACTTTTTAAAATTGTAAAATTGTATAGGTAAAACGTGAATGTATTCTTATATCATGAATGTCTCCTCTGGTCTACCTTTCCTATTAAAAACAAATGTCATCAAACTGTACCTTTTGTTCTGCAATTTGCATATTTTTATGTAATAACATCTTGGTCTCTTCATGTCAATATATATATCATTATTAATTGTTGCATAGAATTGCATAGTACGGGTATAGTTTATTTAACCATTTTTTATTTTATTTATTTTTTTATATATTTTTTTCCTTTTTGTTTTTTTTCGTGACCGGCAACGGATCGCAACCCTCAGTGTCGCGCCCGTTCCGGACCGGGACCGGCAACGGGATCGCAACCCTCGGTGTTGCATCCGCACCTCGCTCAGCCAGTGAGCGGCCGGTCTGTATGTGGGATCTGAACTCTCGGCGGGAGCGCCGCCACGCTCCCAAGCGGCGTACTGTAGCAGTGCGCCACCGGGCTGCCCTAACCATTTTTTATTTTTCATGGAAATTGTGGTTTCCAGTTTTTTGCGGTTGCAAAGAGTGCTGGCGATGAAAACTCTTGTACATGCCTTTTTATACATACGTGTTATTTGAGAATATAGAAGTAGAATTGCTGGGTTGAAGTGCCCTCAGAGAGTGTATGCCCCCTTGAACCACTCATTAGCCCGGCATGTGGTAGAGTGCCCGCACCAACACTTGACGTTTGTATCAATCTTTTTAATTGTTATCAATCTGTTGAGCAAAGGTTTCATTTTTATAATTTCCATTATCCTGATTACCTGTAAGAGTGAGAACCTTTTTATGTTTTTTGGTCATTTTTATTTCTTGTCCTCTCAGTTGCTGGATCATGTCTTTTGACTATTTTTCTTTTGGCTCCTTTTCATCCATTTATTTTTTAAAAAATAGTGAATAAGTAAATGTATTCGTTAATAAATAAGTTTTTTTGAGTTTTTTATCTTCAGGGTATTAATTGTTTGTCATACATTTTGCAGATATTCTCTTTCAATCTGTAGCTTGTTCTTTGTTTATAGGTTTTTATTTATTTGTTTATTTTTGGTGGCCGGTGCAAGGATCCAGCGCTGGAGTTTGGTGTTTAAAGCATCACACTCTAACCCACCGAGCAACAGTCCAGCTGTGTTTTAATGTTTGAAGGAGTCAGATTTAGTTCTCTTTTTTCCTTTTTCTTTGTGATTTTCTGACTTGTATTTTCTGGCTTTTTGTGATTCTTGTCTTGTTTGAGAATATCTTCCTTAACCAAGGTTGTAAACATTTACCGATATTTTCTTTTACTACTTTCATGGTTTTTGTTTGTTTGTCGTTTTCAAACATATTGCTTTTTGATCTAGTTGGATTTTTTTTTTGGGGGGGGGCGCTTTTTTTCCCTCATTTGTGTGAGTGGTGTTGAGGGTAGGGGTTTGGCTCCTTATCCTCAAAATGGAAAACCAGTTGTTCAGCATTTGTATTGACTAATGCATCCGTTGCTCATTGATTTAAAATGTTACATTTGTTAAATGGTTTTTCTCCTGGATTCTTCATTGGTTCTGTTAGTCTTGTTTTTCTACTTTCACAAATACCAGATTGTTTTAAATCCCTAAGCTTTATAATGTGCTTTGAAAAGTCTAATAGGGTAAATCCCTTCATACTATTATTTTTGTGCATTTTGTCCTCCAGATGAATTTTAGAATTAGTGAATCAAGTACCAATACAGTCATGTTTGGGTTTGACTGCAACTGTATGGAATTTATAAATTAATTTGGGGAGAATAGGCTACTTTCCAGTAGTCGGTTTTATCATCTAGGAGAGTGGCATGTCTCCCCAGTTGGTATGTTCTCTTTTACACTCTTCAGTCAAGTTTTATGCTATTCTCCATATAGAAGCAGTTAAGTGGCACATTTTGTGTTAGGTTTATTCTACCTTATGTTCATCTGTTCCAGTAAATGGGCTTTTTTTTGGCAGCTGGCTGGCTGGTATGGGGATCTGAACCCGTGACCTTGGTGTTTTAAGGCTGAGCTCTAAGCAGCTGAGCAAACGGCCAGCGCTCTTTTTCTTTTTACAGTTTGTAGTTGGTTATTGCTGGTGGAGAGAAATGCATTTGTCAGGCCACCCTGTTGAAGTTCCAGTGACTTTCTAAGCTAGGCTACTGGAAGTATCCCTCAGTAGTGAGGTCACTAGCGGAAGTCAGAAAACTGTTAATGGGCCTATGAAAGGGAAATTGTTCTAGCCTGAGCCTCCGTAGCCATCATCTTAGAAGTTGGTATTTTCCTGCTTTTGTGGGGCTCAGAGTAAGCATGGGTTTGATACCAGCCAGGAGCCCTGGCTAAGACAGGGTGACTTGGAATGTCAAATGCCAACGGTAGCAGCCTGGCACCCATAGAGAGTGCCCTCCATGGGAAAGCAAACCAGATGGAGTCCCTTGCACAGTGCCACTTTCCTGGTCTTGGCCAGGAACCTGCCTTTCACATGATGTTCCCTATACATGCCCTAGTGAGGAATTCAAAGGGGTGTTTGTTCCATCTTTGTTTTGTATCTTCATAAATGAAGGAAACAGTTCTAAAGACTGCAAGAACCTCCCAAAGTCGGACTCAACTAGCTATTATAGTTAGTGGAAATTCAAGCACTGGGATTCTTTCAGGCCCCTTTCCCAAAACCAACCTTCACTTCGTTACAGCTGGAGGAACAAGGACCAGTGCTTGCTTTTGTGACTGACGAAAAGCTCACGGATGATCTGTTGACCCCTTTCTTTTGTCCTTGCCCCTCTTGTCCAAGCAGCGGGACACTACAGCTCCTCTAGTTCCATGCTAATATCAGGGTTCCAAGGGAGTATGCTTTTGCTCTTCCAGGCAATGATGCTGCCACCACAAGCTTACCTTTACTGACTTGACCTGAACCAGCAGGAGAAATTACACTGTGGCAATTCTGAGCTCATAGGCTCTGATTAACTCTATAAATAACTAGAATTCTTTCCCTGTGAGCTCACCTCTCTTGAATTCCTCAGACCTTCTCCCAGGTGGAACTTAGTAAGACCTTGTGTCATTCATCTTTTAATTACTGTTGACTTCATTTCCAAAATCATAATAATATCAGCATGGGGTGGGAGCCCCACTCGCAGGGGCAGAGGGCACAGTGGTGCACTCAGGGTCAGCCTTGACACTCTTTGATCAAACTCCTTTTTGTCGTCCCCCCCCCTTTTTTTAAACTTTCTTTCAATTTGAAAGCAGTCACTCTTTATTAACTAGGCAGATTGCAAAAGCAATCATGGCAGACACCTTAGTTAGTTCTTCCTTCTAATAAGCCTGTTGATCTGGTCTTCCCTGTTGCCAGCACCTCCACCTTCCACAGAATGGGTGGTCTTCTTCATCCCACCCCATGGAGAAGATAGTGTGAAGGGCCACAGGAAGTTATTTGCTTCTTTGGAACACTGTCCAACAGTACAGATCTCATGAATCAGATCCTCCATGCAGATGATGCCGTATTTACCAAGAGATTGAGCAATCAAAGTGTTACCACAAGGCAATTCGCTTCGTACTGATTTTGCCTTAACCACGCTTGTAGATTAGTTCATTTACTGACTTCAGGTTTGGGTACCCCCAGGCAATACATGGTTCCACAATCCTCAGCATGTTAATTGAAGCCTTGTTGAGCTTAACAAAGGTGACTTTAAAGATCTGGCAAAGGTGAAGAAGCTGAACTACCCTTCGGACCTTTGGGCT